TCCACTTTAGTCTACCAATGACAAATGCAGTTGCTTCTGCTGCCATCATGGAGACTGCTGGTATTTTGTAAGCACACACCTAGGGCCAAACAATGTGCTCGGGGTCTTATACACATCATAGTATTGAATCGGCACAACACACCCAGGAGGCAGGTCTTCTTCTTATCTTCGTTTTACCCTGGCTCAGAGACACTGAGCCTCACGTCCGATGTCACACAGCCATCAGGCAGAGCTGGAAGAGGGATGGTGACTATTGTGAGTTCTTGTTGGCCCTCCACAAACAGTAGCTATTGTGATGATGGTAATGATGCAGGAGTCCTTGGGACATGTGACACGATGAGCATATGACATCTTAGTCTACGTTCATGAGATTATTCCCTCCCTCATAACAAAGACAGCATAAAAGCTCTCTCTGCTCCAGGGGAGAGGAAACTTAAGGATGTGTTAGAAGGTAAGGATGTGCAAAGTGAACACATTATTCCAAAATTATAATTGTCCTGTTGAGAATATACTCTTCAGCATTCAGCTATGGGGGTGTGTGAAAGTAGGGAACAGGAAACAGAGGCTCAGACACATTTTATCAACTCCACAATCTATCCATGGTGTATCCAAATGTGCTATAGTCTTGAACATTATGAAGAACAGGATGAAACATTCTTCCTTTCTCTTCCCCTAAGAGAAATCTGTTGCTGTGTGTTCAGCCTTTGGGCCGAGTGTAGCATCCTACAGTGTTTCAGCAGAGAGCTGCCAGAAAAGAACAATAACACTAGCTGTGTTATCTGCTGACACAGAGGACAGGAATACGCTCACAGCCTAGAGTTGGCTTCTTGCCTCTTGTTAAGGCACCAAGCAGCTGGGCTTACTGACAACCTCCCCAAGACACACGCGCTTACTCTAGCACTATTTAAATCTCTCTCTATGGTGTATTGCTTTGTTTCCTTCGAGCCTGTTACTTCTTTAATCTCACTTCTCATTTGTTTGCATCCCCTAGACTAAAGGAACAAGAACATGTATGCATCAGAGGATGGTAACCCAGGCCCGTAGACCCCAGCTTGGATAGACTTTAGGCCAATCTGGAGCCAAACCTCTGACCTCTCAAAAGGTGACAGAGGCCCATGCACTCTTGATTTCTGGAGGATCCAGGTAGATTAAAAAGTAAATATGCCTATGGGACACATGGGTGGCTCAGTAGGTTAAGCGCCTGACTCTTGATTTTAGCTCAGGTCATGATCTCAGGGTCTTGAGATGGGACCCCACCTTGGGCTCTGGGCTCCAGGCCCAGTGGCTCAGTGGGGAGTCTGCTTGAAGATTCTCTCCCTGTGCCCCTCCCCCAACTCTCCTTCATGCACGCAAGCACTCTCTCTCTCTAAAATAAATAAGTAATCTTAAAAAAAAAAGTAGCCTAACCTTTGAAACCCAGACCAATGAACAGATAGAACTTCTCATTTTCCAAATTCAGAATCCTCTTATTTAAATTATAAAATATTTTAGACTTGAATTTAACTTAATATTGAAAACTCTTTAAAATGACTTGCTGGGGCGCCTGGGTGGCTCAGTTGGTTAACCGACTGCATTCGGCTCAGATCATGATCCTGGAGTCTCAGGATCGAGTCCCGCATCAGGCTCCCTGCTCAGCAGGGAGTCTGCTTCTCCCTCTGACCCTCTCCCCCTCATGTGCTCTCTCTCTCTCTCTCTCAAATAAATAAATAAAATCTTTAAAAAAAATAAAAAAATAAAATGACTTGCTGGGTTTTTTTTTTCCAAATGTGTAGTCTTGAAATTCTTGTTCTCTTTATTTGCCTCCTCTCCATCCCTATTCTACAATACATGCAGTTCAAAAAACTGATCATACTGAGTAGGCAGTGATCTAAACCCCATCCTGCTACTCCACAGCTGTGTGACCTTGTGGAAGTTCTTTCCCTCTCTGGTCCTCAGTTTCTATATCTCTAAGGTGAGATGGTAATTTCCATTTCTCAAGTTCCTTTGAGCTTTAAAAGCCTATGATTTTTCTTATTCCCAATCCTCACTTCCTGCCAAACTGTCCCCAGAATATATATATATGTGTATATATATATATATATATATACACATATATATATATATATATATACACATATATATATATTTTAAGTAGGCTCCATGCCCTGTGTGGAGATCTCATGACCCTGAGATCAAGACCTGAGCTGAGATCAAGAGTTGGATGCTAAACTGAATGAACCACCCAGGCGCCCCTGTCCCCAGAATATTTTAATACCCAATCTCCAAAGCTATTGTCGTGGTGTACTGGCCCATTCTGCTAAAAATAAGATGAAACATTTGCTTATTTTTAAACTACAACTAAGCCCAGTACTTACTAGGCATGGACTCAGACTTATTTTTTCCTTTATCCTGTGGCAATGAAATTTTTATTTGTCATCATGGTGAACAGTGTGTGTGTGGTCATACTTAAACCAATATAAAAACTTTAAAACCAGGAAGTATCTAACGTTTGGCTGGGCTAAGTGGTCAGTTACAGATCTGCACTGATAGCTTATGGACACTAGATGGCAATATAAGTGCACCAAATAATAAACATTCCCTTGATTGGTCCCAGCATTAAAATCCCAATGATTGAGGCCAGAACAGGTTAATACATTAAAGAAAAAAAAGTCAAATATAATCAGGTGTGTTGGAGTGTTAGCTAATATTCCGTATGTGTTCAGTAACCTGATACTCATTGAAAGAAAAGATTGTTAAACTAAAAATTAATTTATCCTGCTGCTGAGTCTATCTTTAAGCTAATTCTTGGGGCAAGAGTTGGCAATAAACACATGATCCCTTAAAATGTATCTAATTCATACTTTCAACTCCATTTTTGGCTTTCACTTTTTTTTTTAAATATCAATTATTTGGGATGGAGTGTGCCTCACATGTATTATTCATGGATGAAATACTATATTCTGATTAGGAGGGTGAGTCCTAAGACACTGGCATTTTAAAGGAGAAATGGTCGACTTACTGTAAGCTGTTGGCTGGGCCATTATTGACTGGCAGGATCAACTGGAAGCACTTTGTTAGTGGATTAGGTTGCCCTGGAAATGCCTTCCTGAAACTCTAATGATGCACTTAAGGAAGCCCTCTGGGACAGGAGTAAAATGTCTCTTAGCCGGGCGTGTCTTCCACCAGAGTCCTCTTGGGATGAGTCGGGAGGGGGCTGGGGCATGTCCAAAGAGAGGCTCAGGAAAGACACAGCCCCAGAAAAAGGTTGCAGGTAACAATTTCTTACAGGTAAGCTGAGATAATGACTTACTGATGTCAGCTGTGGGCTTTCTGAGGTTACCATTGCCTCACGTATTCTTTGGAAAGAGCATCATTAATTCCAGAGAGACTGTATTTATTTATTCATTTGCTGGGGTTGGGGTGGCGCAGGGATGGAGAAGAAGTGGGGGGGGAGAGGGCATCTGAAGGAAAACATGGTTTAATCCCCTTTGCTTTTAAGGAAAAGCCCCTTTGTAGCTTGAACATTGGGGTCATTCGGTGTGCTTTCTTCTTTTTTAAAAAAGCCTATATGGAGGGGAAATTTGCCCTTCAGCAGAAATTCAGTGCCTGTGCAAAGGGTTTGTTTGTAGATTTTTTCAAATGCAAAATCACTTGTGTTTCTGTCACCGCTGGGGTGGGGGGTTATTTCTGGGGAAGGGTGGCGTTGGTGGAGGTGTAAAAGGCAGGAAGCAGGAAGAAAAGGCAACGCGAAGGCCGCGGCAAACTCCAGACTCGCGGGCAGGACGCGGAGGGAAGTGGCTGCGCGGCGCCGCGTCCCCACCCCAAACCCGGAGCCGGGGAGTCGCGTGCCACGGCCGGTGTGCCGCGTCCCCGTGCAGTCCTGGCGACCTGTCACCGAGGACAACGTGACTCGGAGCTGCCTCCGCTTTCTCCAAGCCATATTCCTTTAAGATGATGTAATAGTCATTTCCCTGGATGGTATCTTGCCTGCACTGCTGAAACAACAGCATCCGAACTGCACTGGGAACTGTGGAACCACCCAGCTCCGCCGCCCGCCGGAGAAGCCCGAGCCCGAGCCCCCCGCGGCCCCTCTGCGCTGCGGCGGCGGGGCTTCCAGCGGCTCCCACCTGCCTGGGAACATGGGAGTCCCTTTGCCCTTGCCGGCAGGTGGGGTGGCTGCCTGGGACCCCAGCAGGGCACATCTGGCTTTCTTTCTGCTTCTGGGCTTTCTGAAAAGCTTCTAAGTCTCAGTACCTCTTCCAACTCTCTTCTGTTTTAAGGATTCTTTCTAAAGGTTTGATTTTTTTTTTCTTCCCCTTTTTACTGGAGAGGCTTTGGTTGGATATTTTTCTCTGCCTTTCTTCTTCAACCCAACCACCTCTCATCACGCTTTAACTTTTCTGTGACTTGTTTCAACTTGACATTGGGAGTGAATACATACCTATATACATACATACAAATATACATTTATATAAATATTTACATATATCTATATAAAATTATTTTCTAAGAGCACATCTCTCTGGCACTTTTCATTGATACCTCTGTCCTTTACCTCTTTGGGATTTGACAAGCTCCAGACTCTGGCTGTGGATTCTGATTCCTTTGAAAATGGGTATTTCTTCACAGGAACTGGGTTTCCAGCACTCACTAAGGTAAGTTCTGAGACTTATTGCTTTTCCTGCCCAGCTTGGAGAAAAAAAAAAAATCCCCTTTTAAAAGTTGAAAATCATATATTCCTTTTTAAAGCAGGAATACCAATAGAAATATTTTTAATACTAATTGCTGGAGACAGAGGCATATGGATAAACATGTAGACACAAAATAGCTTAAGAGAAGCTACAATTTAGTTGAAGAATGGCTGAAATCAGTAGTTCCAGGGCTGCTTATGTAAAATAATCTCTCCCTCCCTACTTCCCTCCCTCCCTCCCCCTCCCTCCCTCCCTCTCCTCTTTCCAGTGGTGTCTCTTTTTCTGACTCATGCTGGGTTTGAGGAAATAATTTTCTCTCTTTTCCTTCAGACAGACCTCTGAGTAACTGGGGACTTGGCCTGCCTTGCCTACTGAGCTTGGGGCAGATCGGATGGAGATGAGTTGGTTATATTCTATGAAGTAATAGCTCACCACCAGCCAGGGTTTAAACTACTTTTGCAGCATCACTTCACCTGTGGACTCTTCTAAATTTTGCTTCCTTGGGGGAAAAAAAAAAAACTGGGGTAAGAGAAGGTCATTTTTAACAAGTTAGCATCCTTCTCCCTCTTTGATAAGTTGATGCAAAGGATAAGGCTGTGACTTCATTGGATTGCACCTTCAAGTCAAAATAGAAGAGCAAGAAGAAAGGGACAATGGCTTTAAGTGGAAACTGTAGTCGTTATTATCCTCGAGAACAGGGGGCTGCAGTTCCCAACTCCTTCCCTGAGGTCGTGGAGCTGAATGTCGGGGGTCAAGTTTATTTCACCCGCCATTCCACGTTAATAAGCATCCCTCATTCCCTCTTGTGGAAAATGTTTTCCCCAAAGAGAGACACGGCTAATGATCTAGCCAAGGACTCCAAAGGAAGGTTTTTCATTGACAGAGATGGATTCTTGTTCCGTTATATTCTGGACTATCTCAGGGACAGGCAGGTGGTCCTGCCTGATCACTTTCCAGAAAGGGGAAGACTGAAAAGGGAAGCTGAGTACTTCCAGCTCCCAGACTTGGTCAAACTCCTGACCCCTGATGAAATCAAGCAAAGCCCGGACGAATTCTGCCACAGTGACTTTGAAGATGCCTCTCAAGGAAGCGACACGAGAATCTGCCCTCCTTCCTCAGTGCTCCCTGCGGACCGCAAATGGGGCTTCATTACCGTGGGCTACAGGGGGTCCTGCACCATGGGCAGAGAGGGGCAGGCAGATGCCAAGTTTCGGAGAGTTCCCCGGATTTTGGTTTGCGGAAGGATTTCCTTGGCAAAAGAGGTCTTTGGAGAAACTTTGAATGAGAGCAGAGACCCTGACCGAGCCCCAGAAAGATACACCTCCAGATTTTATCTCAAATTCAAGCACCTGGAAAGGGCTTTTGATATGTTGTCGGAGTGTGGATTCCACATGGTGGCCTGTAACTCCTCAGTGACAGCATCTTTTGTCAACCAGTATACAGATGACAAGATCTGGTCAAGCTACACTGAATATGTCTTCTACCGTAAGTACAAAGAGTTCTTTTGATTTTTCATCTGTATCAATTCTCTTTATAGTTGTTTATGGTCTGCATGTTCAGTCAGTGTCTAAGGAATACCATTTGGGATTTTTTTAAACTCCTGAGGTATAGCTAGAGTATTAGAGGTTCTAAATCAGGTCTCACATCTTATCTAAGGCAACTTTTATCTGTTTTATCAGTAACATCAAAGAATATTCAAAGGTCTATGCAAATGATATTGGTTTAGGTAATTTGGGGATTGGAGGCAGACACGTATGTCTGTTTGCCAGATGTGGGACTGTGAGGAGAAGACGATGGCTGGAACTTGGCTGTTGGTCCATGGGAGGTTGGCAGACTCCGAGTGGATGAGGTGGTGCTGTCCATTCTTTATTTTTTTATTTTTTTAATTAATTAATTTTTTAATGTAGTGTTCCATGATTCATTGTTTGCATATAACACCCAGTGCTCCATGCGGTAAGTGCCCTCCTTAATACCCATCACCAGACTCACCCATCCCCCCACCCCCCTCCCCTCTAAAACCCTCAGTTTGTTTTTCGGAGTCCATAGTCTCTCATGGTTCGTCTCCCCCTCCGATTTTCCCCCTTTCATTAGTGCTCACCATAGCACATACCCTCCCCAATGTCTATCACTCAGCCACCCCATTCTTTGATGTGAACTTTGGGACCTGTTAAGCCAGTTGCTGGAGACTTGCTTTCATCAGGGGCTCTGAGAACACAAATGGCTGTTGGGCAGAAGGATGCGGTCTCGGATAGGTAGACGGCACTAGATAGACGGCAGCATAGGCTGACAAAAGACCCCCGGGCTCCCCTACCACGTCTGAGATTCGCTTTTATGGCCTTTACAGGTCTGCTGTTTGATTCTTTAGCATTTTGTACTGAGACTTGAGTTGCACTGCAGACTTAATTAAACTGAACTTTATGTAAGAGCCATCCAAAAGGAACTAGATCTTTGAGAACTGTCAGTCAGAAGCAGATATCTTCAGACACCTGAGGTGACAGAATTACTGACATAAAAGGAAACCAGAGGGAAAAAAAGGCATGGAAACAGTTGTTCTGGAGCTTTTTAAGTAAGCGTTTCTTAGAGGTCAGTCCATTGGCTTAAATGATGACTTATGCTACAGATTGCTTTGTTTTATGAAATGGCATCGTTCTAAATAAACCATAAGCCATTGATCTCTGAAGGGAGAACAGTAAATCAGTCTGTAAAGTTTAGTGCTTGGTTTAACAGTGGATTTTCAACAGGACCCGGGAGTTGGGTAAAGTGAATTCCGTAAGAAATGTTTCCGTGTTAGCATTCAGTTTCCTCTCTTCTTATTTTAAGGCAAATCCATAAATCTGGGGATTAAAATGTCTCTCTCTTTTTTTTTTTAAACATAAAGGGACAACTGAATTTCTGGGACTGATTTTTGCCCACAGTTGTGTTTCTTCATGTGGAGATGGTGCTGCAAACAGTGATAAAGAGGCCAGTGGCAAGCTGAGTTGTTCTGTGCTGGGCTATCACCCATTAGATTTTTAGAAGTGAGGACCCATGGATTGTGTGGAAAGGACAGCCTGCAGAGAAAAATGAAGCCAGCTATCAGTTCAGGAACATACTGATGTGTAATAACAAGCATTATTTGGTCCAACAACCCTATCGATGGCCTTTATCTATAATCTATATCTTCCTGGATGCTGGAGCTTAGTCACCAGATACTGCTTTCTTTCTTCAGGTATAGAGATAAGACTTTAGCTTTTTAGCCTTCTGTGAAGGAATCTGACATTATCTGTAATTTTGTAGAACAAATATCTGTTCCTAACTCTTTTGGAAAAATGTATCTTAGAAAGAGTTCAAATCTAGTTTTGTGATATTTACCTTGTTCTCCAATTTCTAATAAAATAGCAACTTGAGAAACTTTAGGCAAATAAATGAAAACATATCAACCATGACCCCTGACCCCCAAAAGGACCACATTAGATTTCTATCACTTGCTCATCTAAATGAGACCCAGAACCTGACATGTATTTCCCTGCTAGCTCAGTGATATTTGTGTGTTCATTAAAGACTCATCCATCTAACACTTTGTCCTCTTTATATTGCTCTGAACAGGTTCTGCTCTGCTGATCATATAATTGCTTCCTTCTTTGTTGGGTTGCTGAGAGGTTGCTGAGGAGCAGTTTGCTCTCCATCACTCATGGACAGGATAGCACAAACACAATGCAACTTCATATTGCACAGCATATATATTTTATTTGATATACTTCCCTTTGTACCTAACATTCAGGGCTAAGTATTAACTCTTCCTCTGTCTTAGGACCAATAAAACTGACAGCTGGCTTTCTAGGGTGCATAACAGCTTCTGTGCAGACGTTTAACCATAATTATTTAATTAGAAGCTGCCAACTGTGCCTATATAAGCATTAATTCATCAAGCTGTTGTGCTCAGGTTAATGGGCTGAAACTATGGGAGGTGCTCTAAAGCAGGGAGTTGACTCTGCAAAGATGCTCTTCATCCAGCACTAGCCCTGCCCAGCCCTGCCTTGTGCTGCCCAGCATGGAGCCCCGGTGTGCACTGTGTGAGCAGAACACTTGGAACCACCACCTGCGAGATTGGAATGGGCAGCATGAGTCCCCAGAAGCATCTCTACAACCTTAAGTTAAAAAATCAAAAAACAAAAAATAAAAAACAAACAAAAAAAACAACCAACCAACCAGCCAACCAGCAGACAAAAAAAGATGCTCTTCACAGAGAAACTCAACTTCCTCCTTGGTTGAAAAAATTATATTGTAGATACAAACTCCTTAGATCCAAGGAATTTACTCTAAGCAATCAGACTCTTCTAATAACCTGGGGATAATACAAAGTCATTTTGCCTGGATCCATATCACAGTAAAAAATGAATAATGAGAAATGAATACATTGCATAGAGTGGTTGACAGTCATGGGGAGAGACCCCTTTCTTTCCATTTGCCTCATTTTCTTCCAAGTTTTCCAAAGGGAAATTGAAAGACCGAAATCTCCCTGTCAGTCATTAACAGGTTAGATTCTTGCCTCATCTAATCTTAATGTGGACCTAGAATTGATGGTCAACATCATGTAGACTGTTTAGTTAATGTAGAACTGTGAAGAGTTAAAGTCAACAGGTGTTTGTATGTGTTTAAGAGGGTGATAAGAAATGTTTGTCTACATTGCTTACCATAATATGATATGTGAGATGCTATGGATTATGATTCACTTACCAGCAACCAGGAAAATGATTGATGGAGGAACATGGAAAAGAAATATCTAAAAAAAAAAGAGAGAGAAATAGCTAGTGGTGCCTGGGTGGTTCAGTTGGTCAAGCATCCGACTCTTGGTTTCAGCCCAGGTCCTGATCTCGTGGGTCATGGGATTGAGCCAGCCCCATGTTGGGCTCTACACTCAGCAGCAGTCTGCTTGGATATTCTCTCCCTCTGCCCCTTCCCCCACTCTCTCTTTCAAGTAAATAAATAAATCTTAAAAAAAAAATCTGGCTAGGAGTGCCTCACAAAGCATTTTAGATATGTCCTTTGTTTAAATTTAAAACAATGAGAAGGTACCTTTTCTTCTCTACCACCCCACTAGCTAAATAATTACCTCCCTTTTCTCTTCAAACATTACATAGAAGGCAGTATCACAAACATCAGAGAATGCCTTCTTGACTCACCTGTAAATGTAATGGGAGCTGAGGAATTTGGATAAGAGAAGTCCTGATTTTGAACCAGATACCAGGCTATTCACACCACTTAGGAGCAGAATCACAGGTGCATAGAGATAAATGAACCTGCTTTTTAGAGCCATCTTCCAATGCCCGAGAGTGAGAAGATTGTTCTTGGTTGGAGAGAACTATACACATTTTTAAAATCCTACCCATTAGCGAGTTACTTCAGACGAATGCCTGAGACACTCAAATTCAAAGGAATTTGCCTCTAATTTTACTGCGACCACATGACAAGTAGGGAGTTTAATTCATAGGATGCATACTCCAAAAACGTACACTCTGAGTTCTGTGAATTATAGTAGAGACACCAACTCATTGCCTTTTCAACAAATTGCTGCTTGTCAGTGCATTTTAATCTTCTCTTTACTTCATTTCCTTAAATTTAAAGGTTGTTTCCACAAAACTCTCTAAATTGTTTTATGTACTGTTAACCTCAAAAATTAAGCTGCTAGTTATTTTACCAGCAAAAATGGGTTTATTTGGGAATAGTAGAAAATTGCAAGGCAGCAGAAGCAAGTTAAAGCAAAGCCATAGGCAAGACAAAGAACAAAGGAGAGAAATTCTCTTTTATGGGGGGGCGGGGCACTGAGCAGGGCTGTTATAAACAAAAAGCCCATTGGACTAAACTGGGAGTTTGCAGTATAGTGACTTTTCATTGGCTCAGTTGTGACGGTCTCTTATTGGCTGGGCTGTTGTGGGGGAAGTCGACAACCTTTCTTCCTCCTGTGGGGCAGTAGAGTGGAATGGACTTGCAAGGTCTATCTCTTCCTGTTGGGTTTACAATTGATGACAGGTGGCAGGGTGTGAGAGTTTCCCCTTCTGGGATCTGGATTCCACTTTGAATGAGGTTTCCTTTGTAAAATTTTCAAGGTACACAGTACTTCAGGGCTGTTGAATGAGATGGGGGGTTGGAGATAAGTCAATCAGAAAACGAATTCTCAGAATTCAACTGCATGATTTTGTTTTGGGAAGAGATACACAGTTGTGAGTGCTGTGATTAACCCACCCAACAATGACTTTGGAAACTTCAGTAAGAGGGTATGTTCTTAACAGGTAGAAAGGCAGCCATCCTGAAATGATTCTAGCTCTTTTTCTACTGGTTATTTGAAAGATACCAATGATAACTTCTATTTTTATTGCTCATAGAGTATGATGTTGGTACATTCAAAATGAAGTAGCAGAACAATGTAGTGAAAATGGTGAAGGTTTGGTTTTTACCACCACCTACGTCTGTTCTTTGTGTTGTTTTTCTGTCTTCTTCACCTTAGA